AAAAAAAAAAAAAGAAAGAGTTTCAAGTATTTACCTTGTTGCCGAAATATCTGATTTTAGATTTATTGGGAGCTAGTTTTAGGACTGGTTGGGTGTTAAATCAAGATGACTTTTGCCTGTTTTCATATAAATGGTTTGTACTTTTGCAGGGATAAATTTCCTTTTGATGTTGCTGGAAATAGTTTTTCATTTTCCAGCCAAACTTGCTCTTGCTTAAAGTATGTACTTTTATGCTGATTTAGGCATGGCTGTGAGTGTAAAAATTACCGGTATGTGTCTTTAACGGCCCATGGCACTTGCTTGGTATGCGGGTAATTGTTCCTCGACACTTAATTGTGTTAACTAAAACAACATATCGATGTTCGATTAGGGTTGCTTGTGGTTCTTTGTTATTAAGAACTAATTGAGCTCAATACATATATATAGCGATTAGCCGTCTGATTCAGGGGTGCCTTTTTAAGCAACAAACATTGTTTGATGTCTGTTTGCGGTTGGTATTTGGTTCAAATGCTAACTACATGTATGACTTTATAATGATGGATTATGAATTTCTAAGGAGGAATGATAATATATATGCAAACAGCTCCTTGTCGTGTATACTTCAGCAATTGGACTTTTTCTAGGAAATTCTAGAGCGTCAATTACAAATATGGGTTAATCTTAAATTTTTCGAGCAGATTTGGGAAATTGATTTTTATCTGACAGGGTTAATGGGAGTTTGTTTGTTGATTTCACAATTGCAATGGTGAAGGCCCATTCGAGGATTTCTTTATCTGATCGGGTTAAAACGGGAGTTTATTTGTTGGTTTCACAATTGTGACGGTATTTAAAAGATGATTGGTGTTGGATATTTAGAGAACATTAGTGCCTTATTTGCTTCTCAAGTTGAAGGATAACACGTACGTGCAGTGTTTTATTATTGCAAAACATGTTTCCATTTCTTTTCTGTTTTGGTTCACAATGTTCTTGTATTGGAATCCCTTCTGTAGTTTTGGAGCTCTATTATCGATGTATGTATTGTAACCATCTCGTGAGGATTCGAAGTTTCTATATGATTAATTATCTTTTTATTTCCTTTCTGCTTTCTTAGATAGTTTTTTACTTGTTGCCTTCGTAATTACGCAGAACATAAGAATACTGGATGGATAAGGCCGGATCTCGTAAAGAGCTCAGTGAGGACATGACCCGTGAGTCTCTCATCGCAATCTCCTATGTGTCACCAGATAACGATCCAACGGATGTGATGATTTTGCCCGGCAAAATCAACGGTGAGAATGATGATCAACCTCTTGACAATGATGGGGAAGATAAATTGAGGTCTGAGCTTATCTCGATTTCTGATTTACCGCCTCCTGAGGAGAACGTGCTTCCGCCCTTGCCGTAGGAGATCAATGGTTAGGGGCTATTGTATCAAAAGATAGAAAAATGTAAATTGATGATATTAATATATCAGGGAACTTGTACAAATATCTTTGTCTTGGTGTAGTAACTCTGTGTTCGAAGGTGATGATTATCGAGTATCGACTGTTTCTTGATTATGTTCTGTGGTGTGTTTGCATTGTGTGGGCTTACTTAAACGGTGACTCGAGTTTTCCGGTGATTCGAGAGCCAATTTGGACCATAGTCCTGTTTGGATTGTTCGATCAATCTCATTTTAAATAAGATGACGTCTGGTATAGCTTCACCGTTATAGTAAGTGAAGGAAGATAGCTTCCGTAAGTATAGATGTTTTCACCAATAAAATGTTATTTTATAAAGATAATATTAAAATGAAAAATAAGCTGATTTATTTGTAAAAAAATATAATGTACCATAATAACTTCTTATATTTGGAGTAAAAAAATTGATGATAAGCTAAAACTTCATGTTATAAAAAATAAGCTAAGTAAAAGTATAACATTTTTTGGGGGAAGGTTACCGTTCCATTTACAATATGGTTCCGTTGATGTTTTTATTCGTAGATTATTTAAACGTCACAGATCTTCATGTAGATCTACTTTCTACGGTTATAAATACCAACAGAACTCTAATAGATTTAACATTCTCATATTTTTTCATATAAACATGCATTTTTTGAATATAGGGAAAATTCTAGTATAGGGCTCGACTTTTAAGTATTCTATCATATTAAGGTCTCAATTTATATCTTTTTCAATACAAGATCTCAAATTTTCTATATTCTTAATTGAGGGCTCATATTTATCTTTTAACTCTTAAATTAGTGCTTATTACTAACACTGTTACTTAACAACTAATTAAACATGATTTTAGTTTTTTTTTTCTTACTTTTTTTTAAAGAAGCAGACGAACATTTTTTTTTTTTTTTTTTAACTCTCAAAACCTCCTATTGCAGCCCTCTAAAGTTCAATCCACTGTGCTTCCCGTTCACTTTCGCTGCGATTTTCGCGTGGACAGGCCTTCCCTCTCTTGCTAGACGGACGAACGAGAGCGAGCAAAGGTAGAATTAGTTCACGTAAAACCTTTTGTAAATTGAAGTGAGCAATCTGTTTCACTTCCATTTTTTTAAGGCATGAAATTTGAATTGCAATTCCCATTATTTTTTCATGATTCGCAATTTTTACCTTTAATCGTCTGCTTTCTTTTAAAATAAACAAGAAAAAAAATTAATATCATGTTTAAATAACTGTTAAGTAATAGTGTTAGTAATAAGCCCTAATTCAAGAGTTAAAAGATAAATATGAGCCCTCAATTAAGAATATATAAAATTTGAGATCTTGTATTAAAAAAGATATAAATTGAGGCCTTAATACGATAGAATACTTAAAAGTTGAGCCCTATACTAGAATTTTCCCTTTTTGAATATGCATGACGGATGGAATTAAATAGTGCTCCATGTATTAAGTTCAATTTTTATTTATTTATTTATTTATTTATTTATTATTATTTTTATTATTATTATTATTTATTAAATTACTTCATTTCTGGATTTATGCGTGTCATCTTTGCGCAGGGCATGCTAATCGTCTATGTATAGTTCCAATTTTATTGGGTGTTCCGAAGGACTAAGATGATGCTTGGATACAAAATTATCTCAAAAAATTCCAATCATTTTTAACTCAACTACTTTATTTAACTCAACTTTAACTCAATTCCACTATCATCAATATTTTACTATAATTAAATATTATCAACCAATCATTTATACACATCACATCAACCTTAATTCACTATTCATCAACTCACATAATTTTAACTAACCATCACTTCAACTGCTCTCTTACTTTTTACCTCAAATCAACTTTAATTATTTTATTTTAAATATTATTTTAATATACCCACTAACAACTAACCATACCACCTTTTTTAAAATTAACCAAACCAACCAAAAAAATCCAAACAAATCCAAAATTTTTTATATCCAAGCATCCTCTAAAAAACTCCAAACATTTGCCCTTGCACGTGACTTTTGCGTGGGCCGAGCCGGGTTCGGGTACAATCAGCATCTTTATTCAGCCACCCTATTTACAGAAGCCCACTTATAGTTATAGCCCTTGTCACTTTACTCCAACCTCCGTCATAACCATCCATGGCCGGAATTTTCCTCCTCTGCAACTACCGGTGAACTTCTGTTCATCCTCACTCATACACAGACACACACACACGAATCTTACCCACACAAAACTCTTTCAGTGGTAGCCATTTTTCAAGAATCCCAGTAACAATTCCTTTCAACGAGAATCAACTGCGGAGCACCCATCGGAGCCGAGCTCATTAACAATGGCCGCCGCCGTTCTACGAAAAAATTATCAAGTAAGATCAATTTTCCGCATATCGCCCCCAAATCCAATCGCCGCACCTCTCCTAACCAAACCCCTGCAAAACCCTAAACACCCAATTCCCCAACTGCAGCCCTTTTCATCCAAGCCTTCGAATTTCCCGGAGTACGAGATGCCCACCGTGACCTGGGGCGTGGTCCAGGGCCGCAAGGAGAAGCTCGTTTCCCGGGTCATCGTCTGCGACTACCTCAAATCCCTCGGCATCGTGCCCGACGAGCTCGAGGACCTCGAGCTGCCATCCACGGTCGAGGTCATGCGCGAGCGTGTCGAGTTCCTGCAGAAAATAGGCCTCACCATAGACGACATCAACGAGTACCCATTAATGCTCGGCTGCAGCGTGAGGAAAAATGTGATCCCTGTATTGGGCTACCTGGAAAAAATTGGTATTCCTAGAGCGAGGATGGGCGAGTTTGTCAAGAACTACCCACAGTGCCTCCATGCCAGCGTTGTGGTCGAGCTTGCTCCAGTCGTTAGATTTTTACGAGGCCTTGATGTTGAGAAACTAGATATAGGTTATGTTTTGATGAAGTACCCCGAGTTGTTAGGGTTTAAGCTCGAGGGCACGATGAGCACATCCGTTGCTTATTTGGTTAGCATAGGGGTGAACCCGAGAGATATCGGGCCAATGGTGACCCAATACCCGTATATCTTAGGTATGCGAGTGGGGACCATGATAAAACCTTTAGTCGATTATTTGGTCTCTTTAGGGCTGCCCAAGAAGATTCTTGCAAGAATGTTTGAAAAACGGGCGTATATTCTTGGATATGATGTTGAAGAGACCGTGAAGCCTAATGTGGATTGTTTGACGAGCTTTGGTGTTAGAAAAGATGCAATTTCCTCGGTTATCGCTCAATACCCGCAGATCCTTGGATTGCCCTTGAAGGCGAAATTATCTTCCCAACAGTACTTTTTCAACTTGAAGCTCAAGATCGACCCGGATGGATTTGCACGTGTTGTGGAGAAAATGCCGCAAATTGTTAGCTTAAACCAGAACGTGATCATGAAGCCAGTCGATTTTTTGCTCGGGCGTGGTATACATGCGGATGACGTGGCGAAGATGATCGTCAGGTGTCCTCAATTGGTGGCCCTTCAGATCGGGCTGATGAAGAACAGCTATTACTATTTCAAGAGCGAGATGGGGCGGCCCGTTAAGGAGCTGGTGGAGTTTCCCGAGTATTTTACGTACAGTTTGGAGTCGAGGATAAAACCGAGGTACCAGAGATTGCAGAGTAAGGGGATAAGGTGTTCATTGGCATGGTTCTTGAACTGTAGTGATGGGAGGTTTTTGGAGAGGCTTCAGGGGAAGTATATAGAAGCCGAGAGCTTTGGGCCCTCGTTTTTCATGGGAGGGAAATTGGAAATGCCTGGGGTTGGTGTCGTGTCCGATGAGGAAGATGAGAGTGACGATGAGATACTTTATAGGCGTACGGTTTCTTTGTAATGGAATTCGTGTTTTTTTTTTTTTTAAAACCCGTTGTATGTTTGGATCGGATTAGATTGGCTTTGATATTAATGGAGAATTTTCGTATGTTGTTCATGAGATGAGTCTGAAAGTGTAGAATAAGTTTGTGCTGATGAAAATGGAATTTGCTAACCGGAAGTAAGCAAAGTTGGGTTCAATTATTTTCTGGGTTTTGATTTTAGAAGTAAAAAAAGTTGATTAACAGAAAATGTTGCCTGTTTATGATTGCATGAGTTGTACTGCATAATCTTATCGAACATGTTCGGCTACCTTCTGGCGAACATTATTTTGATCAGGCATGACTTATCGGGCAAAAAAAAAAAAAAAAAAAAAA